AAAAATCTTACCAGAAAAGGTAATCATGGGTTAGCGCGAAATATTAATTCGGAAAAGATGTTCGCAAACGGCGAATGAAATGGTATAATCGACATATCAGGGTAAGACCGTGTATCAAGTGATGAAGATGAAAATTTACTATACGGTAAAAAGATTTACTTTATACCGGCGAAGTCAGGTGATTATTTGTATATATTGTCACGGCTGATGCTGAAATCCGGCTAAAGCTGAAACCATAACCTTTCATTGGTTGATCAGATTTTATTATCTAATCCATTGGTTAGTTTCAGCTTCAGCCGGATTTCAGCACATAAAATGCAGCCAACCTTTTAAGTATTACCATGCCACGCAAGAGAATCTCTGCCAAAAAGTTTTAATACAGACATAGAGACACCTAAACGCATTCGAACTTCATTAACAGGGTTGCAGGAAAAAGAAATTTGTTCCTTTGCTAATGCAGAAATTGCTGAATTGTTTGGTCGCGGTACTTATACTAGCACCGTTGGTGATGTTATCAGTGAAAGCGGAAAGTGGCTTGCAATAAATAAAGACAATCATGCTGCTCAACTTCGCAAGAATCGATAACCAAAATGGCCTGTACTTGAACAAGCGATGACTGCGTGATATAGAAAAAAGAAAAGATAAATTATTTGAAACAAATTCAAGATAAAAATAATAATAACGTACAATTATTAATTATTGGTTACACGATTTCCCACTTGTGTAACGGTTTTATCTCGTTATAACGGCCAGAAACTGCCAAAACACTCGTGCCGGTATAGACAGAGTCGACTGTAACATCATTACTACATGTGGGGGCTGAAGCTGAAACTGAAACACTCGTGACCTGGAATTTATCACGTAATTAATAGGGGGTAGCCAAATCTATCACGTATGTAATGTTTGTTGCACACTGCGCATGATAACAAATACCGTATTTTTCGGACTAAAGTACCAGTGGTATTTTACAAAACCTCGTTGTACCATGGAGTAGTATTATACAGGGGTGGTATTATAATATGACGATGTAAATCGCTATTTTATTGGTTGTAACGTACTCAAAACACGAATAAATTTGCAGCATCTTGCTTGCTTTAAATGAAAGGCACGTATTAACGGCGTGTTTTAGAGAGGAATATATGGTGATATAATAAGCATGTTTAATAATAAACGCTGTACCATGGTACTTTACAAGTATTTCATGTAACAACCCGTTCATAGTACCATGGTATTTTACATTCCATGAGCTTAGTCCGAGAAATACGGTATATGGTATATTGTGATTCAATACTTCATCGTTCTGAATATTTAAAACAATAAATCGCAACGAATTATTTACGACAGTCTATTGAAGGTGGGCTTAATTGAACCTATTACTTTTTATATGCCATGAGCAAATAATCGGTTCTCTTGTATAAACGAGTTTTACTATTAGAATGTAATTTATACAAAGTAAAATGTTATGATAATCTGTGTATCTACGATTATACGTGGTATTCTGATAACGAATCAAATTTCTTATTGAATGACGATATATGTAATGTTTGTCGCACATATCATTGTAGTGGGTATCAAGTCAATGGTCAAAAGAATTTGTATTGACTCAAGCCTTTCGTTCATGCGTCTCACTTTTTCATTTTCAACTCTTAAAAGCAAGAAAGAGCCAAGTACCCCACACCTAAATTAGAGTCAATGAAGACCTAGTTATGCTGTAAACGATAGATATTATAGAGATTGATCAATTAAACTATTCATGTCAGAATCAAATTCAAACGTTCAATTCGTTTTATCTTTTATTGTGCTTAGAAGTCTTCGACACTCACTAATTTACTCATGCATCATAGATCAGATGCGTATGCTATCAGTATTAGACGAACCATATTATTGTTTTATGGGTGGACTATGACAAGCGATGCCCGATTTAGCATCAGATGCGCATAACAGTATCAGAGAATGTTTGTTGTCTTAATGAATTTGACAGTTGTTGTATATTCTTGTCATAATAACTAGAGTCATAAGTAGTTAAGAGGCTTCGCCTCTTTGTTAGCTTCGATCCCTTTTGTTGTTGACGAGATTCTATTGAGGTATTCTTATGATGTAAATTATAGTAAATTAGCGAATGAAAATTTATATTAATGATGCGGCAAACTTTTATTTACTTCACACATATCGTGTGATATGAACATATTATTATTATTGATGGTTAGTGGTGATGGTATGGTATATTTTACTAATAGTTTTGATACGTCGGAAGTGTTATCGTTGTTGCAGTTTAAAGGGTCGGGTTGTCATTATGAAATGACGAACTTCGCGAAGAATAAGTTATATAAAATGCCTGCGTTTTTTATTTGTGAACATCAAAGGCATGGGTAGCGAACTGCTTCTACCAGTTCATAGAAATTGCATGTCTTTTTTTTTGACAATGGAATGTCATTAAAAAGAGCGGATAAATACTGACCAAATAAGCGATAAATATACGGGTGGTCCATTAACAGGTCTATACATATGCTACCAAAAGGATGATGGTTATTATGTAGCTGTCCATAGCATCGACGTCGTGCTTCAATTTTATTTCATAATCTTATTAGCTCAATTCATGTTGAGCATATTGTGTAAGACTGTTTTTTATTTAATATCAAATATGTAACTAATTGTTGTCGCCATACCTGCAGATCATAGCTATTTCTTAGTTTAGGTAATTCTCTCGTAAGTAAAAGCTTATTACAATATTTACTCTCCTTTTCGAGACGTGATAAGGTTACGTCGTTATGATAGATGGCTTTCCATGAACTGTCCATATCCACCTTTTCAAAAAGGTTCCTAATATCATCCCAAATTGTCCTACGCTTGTCAGGATTAGTGTCAGTGTCACAACATCGTTCAAGTTTCTGGTGCTGAATCGGGAATCGTTGGCCGTAGTCCACTCATTATATCGCATATTAAATCATTGTCGAATTGCTTGTGTCTAAAGGGTGGTTCCCCAGTGGCAAACAAATATGCAATAAACACACATCTAATTCATGAGTATATTTGTAAGCATGGAAGGTTCCAGTGCAATAAACCTCCTCGAATTGTTGAATTTGGTTCACGTGAATTCACCGATGGTGAGAGACTAAAGGTCGCATATGAATGATTTTGTCAAACGTTTGACTGTCTGCATCTTTCCCCACAAATTGTTTAGACGTTACGGTAAGATTCCAATGGTCGTCTTGTATTTGCGGCTGATCTTTCAAGGCACCCATGCATATTATGTGGGTAGAGCGTTGTGGAGGGGATTTGGTTTTATAGCATGTATTTCAGTAAATTAACAAATACCAATTTGTACTAATGATGTGACATGCTTTTACTTACTTCGCATACATCGTCTTTCGCAATGTTAGTAATCGATCCGAAAACTCTTACCAAATCATCTTTAGAAGGTTTGTATACAGGGTGTTTGCATGGTATCAATAAGAGGGATGAAAATTTTAATTAATAGTTTTATATGTGTGCATCCGAAGTTGTATGCTGATGCAAGACATTGCACTATTTGATATTAATGAGCAGTTGTTCGGTTATCTGTTTGATCAAGCAAGTGGTGTCGAGGTGTATGAACATTTTTCTGTTGGTAGTAGTAGTGATTTGGTTGGGTTCCTCCACCATTCATCGCTTTCAACTGGGCTATTAAGAATATCTCTTGTTCTTGTTTAGGCAAGGTGTGAAATGCTTCACAAAACTTTCTTTGGAACTTTGGCTGAGAACATCCACAATCACAGCCTTTCCAAAAATGAATTGCTTGTTCATACCACCATTTTACTATTTCCATATACATATAACCCTATATGTTAATTTTTATTAGTTTGTGATTATGCTCTTTATTTCATGTTTCACTGTAAAAAAACCAATTGATGATTGGTTTCACATGAAATGACATGTTGTTTATTTATTACAACAGATTGTAATTTTACCTTGTCAAGAAATGCAAATTGCATGAAAATACTTATTTTTACATAAAAAGACAGTAATTAAATTGTCCCCAAACCCCATCACGTTATCAACCATCATTGTTAAGTCCTTCTTCATTGAGAACTTTGCCTTTCCTCAATTTATCTAAAGCTCTCCTAGGTGGGCAATAGAGGGAATAAAAAGGGTTAATGAATGTAAAACCAGCAACAACAGAAAAACGAAGCTATCAGATAGCTATTCGTCATCGTCTTTTCCTTGCAAAAGTGATTCACGAATTTGGACTAATGCTTTCAACACGTCTCGTCTTCCGGCCGGTTGAGCGAGATCGAAACCGGACGGCAAAATATTCCTACGCGGCCATCTTTGAACCTCAACAGACTGATTTTGCGGCACGCCATCTTCAAGTTCTCTCCAATACGCGGCAGGAATATTGGCCTTATAAAACGTAACATAATGAGAAATTGTACGAATGGCCCATAACGTCTGATCAAAATATCGATATTTCTTGTTACGTATATTCTCATTTGCACAAGCAAGAATCTCCGCACTGATCTGGGATTCTCCAAATCCATTGTTTGGTCTGACGTTTCTCAAATGTTTGTCCTGTAAGAAAGTTGCTTGAGGCGACGAAAATAACTTGTTCAAACGGCCACGACCCACATACATCTGCTACCACGACAAAGATGTTTCTTTTCCTTTTCCTTACTACAAATCCAGGGTCTGATGATACACGGGAATCCGCAATGTCTAATATGCAGAAGGGATGATTTCTGAATTTTAAAAATGTAACTTTAGAACCATTGTATTTGTATTTGTCAAAACAGGACACAAACTCAGATACTGACCTGACCCTTAAGGGCCAGCCATCCAGGCCAGCGATGCGCAGTAGACCGTCCACGAGCGTATCAGTGAAAGTTTCGTCAGTACCCACCACATGCATGCCATTCTTCACGACATTATGCAAGTTCGCAAAGAATGTGCGAACGTTCTTATTCCCATCAATATTCTCAACATCGAAGTCTGGGTTTCTAAGTATTGTATGTGTGATATTGGAAAGAATATACTCTTCTGGAATGCTTGTGCCTGAAATTATTTAAATAATTATTTGTGCCCGCTGAGAGGACTACTAATACAACATAGCTCGTACCTTCAACTGTGGGTATAACATCGCTCTCAGCAGATGCTGGGTTGATTCTCACTCTCAATACCTCAATGTGGGAGTTCTTGAACAGAGAGGCCGAAGAAGGGAGGTCGTCTCTGGCAAGTTGTCTGGCAAGTTGCAGGCATTTGGATCGTCGTGGAGCACACTCACTTTCATCTTCGACGTTTCGTTTTAGAGGCATGATAAAAAAAGTCCTATCAATTCAATAACTACACTAACAAAAAGCTGAAACAAAAAATAATTTTGACTGCGGAGGAAGATTTTATCATGTGACTCGCTTATCTGATTCATCATAATTAAAAGGCAGAACAAGTTTGTTTTCACTGAAGTGTAGAACATAAAAATCTCACTTGGTAAATTTACATGTCAATGTTACTAGAATTAATTTTTTAGAGCTTTAAGTTAACCAAACATTAAATGCTTGGCTTAATCTTTGTCACCAGTCCAACATCATAAACCATGAAATTGAACTGACAAT